CTCCATCCCCACAGATCCCATCCCAGCCAAAATCACCACTGTCTCCTCTCTGGTGTCTTTATTCACTTTTACTTTTGTTCTAACCACCCTTCTTCCCACTCAGCAGCCAGATTCTCAGGGTAGCCTCTTAATGCTGGAGGAAGGCCTGCAGGGGAGGCCTCACAAGACTGAGTCGCACAAAGATAGAGGGTCTAGTGCAGCAATTGACGCAGCCAGAAAATCAAGGTCTGCGGGCGCCAAAGCCCAATGTCCGGATGCCCAGGATGCCTGGATGTTTCCAAGAGGCGCCAGCAGGGAACAGACTGTCGGGGGCTGTGCCTGAAGCTCAGACCCACAAGTAAAAGATAAGGACCTGGAGACGAAGCTCATCAGGAAATCTCCGGCCCCCTCAAGTTCTACCTTGGCTCACAGGGAGTGGGCCCCGCCCAAGGAGAAGCTGCTGGCCGTCTCTGCACCAGCACGGGGCCGCTGTCCCACTGCCCACCTGTGCCTATGCAGGTGCTTCTTCCCACCCGCTCTCTCCGTCTGCGGGGCAGCAGCCTCCTGCCTGCCGGTGACCATGCCGGGACTTCTCTGCACTGACCTCCCCCAGTGGAGGCCACTCTCAAGGCCGCCTGCCTGCACCCATGCAGGCCTCTCCCTCTGCAAGCCTGTCCCTTCGGGGCAGTTCCTCCTGCCCACTTGCGCCTGTGCAAGTGTCTTTTCCTCTCCTGTCTCTTTCTAATAAACTTACTCTGTCTCATGGAGAATCTCGCCACATGCCACTGAAAGGGGAGTTCTGGTGAACCTTTCCCAGGCCATACGTCTGTACCTGAGTCCCCTGGGTGCTACCTCTGTGGCTCTAACACTCCACCAATTCACTGACTTATAACCTGACCGAGATTACAGAAATCCTCACTGGCTCCAGACTCAGGGCACCAAACAGCAGTCTCGCTCACCCCAGAGGCCTTTGACAGTGAAACTGGACACCCTGACCATGTTGAGCCAAGGAGGCTCAGGAGCCTGGTAGCTTCCGGGTTCATGAAACAATCATAACATGTTAGCTCAGCTCAGGAGGCTGAGTTTATCCACAGGGACCTAAGGTCTGCTGTGGAGAGTAAAGAGAAAACAGAGAGGAGAGGCAGCATGGGATGCTGACAGCAGAATGCCCTAGTTTCTGGGGTTACTGGGGTTGCCAAGGTCCCTGAGGTCCCGGCCTATCCTATTCAGGCTCCTGGTTATTTAGCTCTTCCTTGGAGCCAGCCGCCTCTCCATACCTCCACAGTTGCCTGAAGTGCTTCCAGACTTTGCAAACCAAAGAAAACTGACTCTCTGCCAGATGACTCTGGCCTTCGCTCCTTTGCAAATCCAGCCTCTGCTCCCAGCCCTGCAGAGAACAAAGGCAACCCTGAAGTCACCACTTTTTCTTCAAGTCTTCAAAAGTCTTTTCAAGACCAGAGGAGTGCATTTGCCATCCTCAGCCCTCATGGCAGGCTAACATCACTGTCGTCCACAAGGCTCCCTTTTTGATTTTACTCAGGAACATACTTTCTGGTATCATCGCCAGTTCCCACGCTCACTCCCATCCCGCCAGAGGCCACCACTCTCGAACACGATGTGTGTTCTTTCATAAGAGAGTAGCCTGCTCTGATTTGCAGTTCTGCTAATGTACATGAATCATATCACACATTTTCTTTAAAAAAAAAAAAGATTTATTTATGTATACATACAAGAGCTGGGGTGTAGGCCAGGGTGTGGGGGATGAGGGGATTCATCAGAGACAGAGTGGGGAGCAGACAGACTGCTGATAGCTTCATAGTACTGAGACTTAACCCCTTGCTTAGCTCTGTTTTTGTTTGTTTGTTTTAAGGATTTATTTATTTATGCATATAGAACTGGGGCACAGGCAAGAGGTGCGGGGCAGTAAGGGGCTTCAACAGAGACAGAGCGGGGAGCAGAACAGGCAGATCTACTGAAATACACTGCTGAGGGGAGCAGTGGGCGGGTCAGGAGAGGTCCGCGCCATGTGGGTCAGCTCTGAGGTGGATTGAACTCCTGTTGAAGTGGCTTTACCTTGGCAGTGCTGTGCTTTAACCCGCTGTGCCACCAGGGAGGGCCCTCAGCTCTGTGTTTGAAAGGCTTGGACATGTTGGTAAGGGATGCAGTCAGTGGTCCCATCTTGATCCCTGTGTCAAGCATAGATGCCCACTCCCCGGTTGAAAGCATTCGCTGAAAACCGTTCACAGCTGCCAGCTTCACTGGGCAATTGCCTTTGGTCAAAACAGAAACCCCACCCCTTACGACCCGACCCCAAGACACTGACTGACTGATAACAAGGTCAGGAACCCACACTCTGTGGGGTTATTTGGGCCCCAGAGCCGCACTTCAGGGTGGAGTGAAGCAAGGCTCTGACTGAGACCCCATCCTCACTAAGCCTTTTGTCTCCTGCGTCCTCTCATCCCCTCCCTCCTAAGAAAACTCACACCTAAGAATACTTCTCCCACAAATCATTTAAGAATCCACACTCAGGGGGGTGGAGTGGGAAATGGGATCAAATGGGGGGGGCGGAGGGAGGAAGTGCACAATGGCACATGGGTGACTCGGTGATGGGAAACCCATGGGGATTAAAATTGATATAAAAAATGTACAAAATGATGTAAAAATAAACTATTATATTTATGAAAAAAAAAAAAAAAAGAATCCACACTCAGACTTGGCCCACCTTGGGAGCCTGACCTGTGATAGTGGCCACCCATTACCATCCAAAATGGTGTGTTTCTGAGTGTGAGGAGTCCCCTAATAATTAGCTCAGAAAGGGGGCAGAAACCATGGCTGTCTGAGCACAGCTTCCCCCCAACCAACAGGCCCATGGACCACTGTGTCCAGAAGCCCATAGGGCCCCCAAATGTGTCTTGTCTATCTGTTCCCTGTGACTCACATCCAGATTTGCACTAACTTCCAACACCACACCACACCACACCACACACACACACACACACACACACACAAAATCTACAGGAAAATTCTAAGACCTATGTGAATTTCTCTAGGACTGTGGAGTGGAAAACATGAATCACATGAGCAGCGTAGGTCTCCAAAAACATTTTTCCCAAATGAGGATTCTGGCCCTGGTGCGAAGCGTCCCAGGGCACAGGCAGGACTCCTCCATATTTCTTTCCTTTTAGAAAAACCCCTGTGGCCCTGCTAGAGACACAGCCGCTCCATGAGGTACTGAGGCAATCCAATTTGACTGGCCCTGAAAGACTAAAGGGGACAGCAGGTTTAACCAGGGTGGTGGGGTGAGAAAGAGAAGTCTAGGTAGAGGGAGTAAAAAATGAATCCACTCGTATACAAATATTGATTGAACACAAATATTTAATTCTGCCTCGGCAGTTTATAAGAACAGTAAACATGTTCACAGCTTTCTTTCCCACCCATTCTCTTCTTAAATTTTGTATTCTTGTGTAGAAGAACTAGGGTGTAGGCCAGAGGTTCGGGAGGTAAGAGGATTGATTAGAGACAGAGTGGAGAGCAGAACAGGCAGATGAACTGAAATACACTGCTGAGGGGAGCAGCGGGCGGGTCAGGAGAAGTCTGCTGTGCCATGTGGGTCAGCTCCCTGGGCAGGGATTGAACCTGTGCTGCAGTGGCTGCCAATAGCTTGAGAGAGCTGGGACTTAACCCCTTGTGCCACCAGGGAGGCCCTTATTTAAGTATTTAATAGTGTCTATGTACATTTGGGTGAGCAGATGTAGGTTAAAGATTGGAAAGAGCTGAAATTCATTCCCAATGACTGAATCCAGTAAAAATAAAAAGGGAAGGGAGTCATATCTTTCTCTGGAATACATATTGGGTCATGTAATGACCTCACACCCTAAACAGGTCCTTAGTTCAGATCACTTCTGGAAAGTTACCCTATAAAAGAGGCTTCACCCCATAGAGCTTAGGGCCCCCACACTCAGATAATCTCATCCCAGTCTCTGGAGAATATCAGGACAGGTCAGTTTAAAACCAGAAATCTGACCCTCCAAAAGCCTTGCAGGAGCTTTCTGAACTTGGGTCTCCCCCTCACTGGGTCCTTTTCACAATGTCTCACTTTGGGTGTAAAAGAAGATGGCCAGTCTGCCCTGAGACAAACTGAGTTAAGTGCTCCACCCAGCGGAAGCAGGAATGTCTCCAAGTGCCAGCTTGCTCTCAGATGTGAAGGCTCGGAGTCCTAAGAGCCAGTTTCTGGAAAATCCTGGGGTTTGAACTATTGACGGAGGAATTCATCAGACACGCTTCCCCATCTACTTAAGTCACACCCAGCATACTGAAAAAACAGAGCCTGAAACTGTATGCCATCTGCCCACAACTTAGCTACTCTGATCCAAACTCCTTAGCCTCTGCAGCTGGAATGTTGGAATGTTGGAAAGAGCACAGCCTTTGGGGTCCTATAGACATCCTCTTCTACTGCTGAGGTGGCTAGTTTACTTCTAAGAGATTCAGTTCCCTCCTCTGTAAACACAAACTCCTCCTTTAGTACAATACCTAGCAAAAGGAGGCAAACAACTCTAGTCAAACTGATGGTCTGATTCCTTGCCCTGGTCTCTGGTCACCAGGAACTCCGTTCTCCAACCCCACCACACCACCTGTCAGTCTGTACCAGACCACCTAGTTTTATACGCCTGCATGGTTCGCCTCAGTATCTCCAGAACCTAAATCAGTGCCAGGTATGCAATGAGATACTCAGATATATCAGGAGAGAAGGGAGGATTGGATATGGGAGAATAACATGCATGAGTAAACAAAATCTTAGTTATTAGGATGAGAATCTGTGGACAGTGGGCTAGCCTGGGATTGAGGAGGTCGTCTGGGGTCCTCTGGCCCTCCGGGACAGATGACTGAGGACCTCAGAGTTCCAGCGTTCCTTTCCCATCGCTCCTTTCCCACCGCTCCTAGTTGCTTAGCAACCAGCCTCCCGGGACACCGTCCCAAGCTACCGCTAGAGGGCGTGCGGGCGGGGGTACGTGAACGCGCGAGCGGCGCGGGCCGGCGAGGGAGGCACGTCACTTCCTGTTTCCTTAGGGGAACGTGGCTTTCCCCGCAGCGCCCGACTTCCTCTGTACGTCTGTGCTGCAGCGGCCGGAGCTGGAGTCAGACCCCGAGCACAGCCCCGCCATGGATTCGGCCCTCAGCGATCCGCATAACGGCAGCGCGGAGGCGAGTGGCGCAGCCAACGGCACGACGCGGCCGCCATCCACGCCCGAGGGCATCGCACTGGCCTACGGCAGCCTCCTGCTCATGGCGCTGCTGCCCATCTTCTTCGGCGCCCTGCGCTCAGTGCGCTGCGCCCGCGGCAAGGTAGGGTTAGCGGCAAAACCCAGCGCTCAGCACCTGCCACCCGAGACGCGGCTGACGCTGACCCCTCCGCCCTAAACGGACGGACACCTGCTCTTTCCGGACACTGACCCTTCCCAGCATTCATCACCACTTCTTCCCCACATCCCTGGGCTTAGGTGCCTGGGCACCGACCGGCCAACCGGTGCTACCCTCCTAAACAGGGATTGGTTTCTACCCCTACTCGGCCTCTAACACTTTATCCCCTGTCTGTGCGGCATGCCACTCGTGGGTCATTCAGCCCTCACGCAGAGATTCGGACCCTCACTGTTCTGAGCCAGCTGGACCCAACCACCCCTTCCGGGACAGTCACCCCATCCCATTTGGGGCAGTTAGCATTTCACCTGGGGCTCTGATCAACCCCGTTTTGAACCTGATGGAACACTGGTCCTGAGAACTCCTGAACGTTACATTGCCTGTCATCCTTCAGTAAGGAAACCTGCCTCACCAACTCCAGGGCAAATTCTAGCATCCAGGCCCATCCATAGGTTGACACCTACTTAACTGGAATCTGTGACCCATATATACCTTCCCAAAACCCCCAAATCAGGTCCTTGACCCTCCCTCAAAAAAAAAATTAGCCCAGGAACAGACCCCAGTTTCTTTTATCATTTTCTGGAACCATCCCAGTCACCCAGTCCTTAAACCTGGCACCCTGGTGCCTCTCTTTTTAGCCAAAGATAGAACCCTAGTTTTGCTGGTTTCTTCTCTCTTGCTACCAGCCAGCTTTGCACCTGCCCTAGGCCAAACCCAGACCTTGTTTCCACCCCAGATCCTCACCTGACCACATAGAAACTTTTACCCCCCTGCCCCCTTCCACCAATTTGGACCTATCTACCCACTAACTGAGCTGCTGCCTCCTGCCTTCCTTTCCGCCGACGCCCTCCTCTCCTTTGTACAATGACTTCTCACTTTCGGCACCCTCTCAGACCAGGCTCCCGGCTGCTCCTCCCCCAGCCAAACCTGATGTTGAACCCAAGAGGAAGCAGTCTTACCCAAAGAGGGCAAGCCCACAGAGCAGCTGCCACTTTTGAAACTGCCCCAGCCCAGGTTCTCAAAACATTAACCAACTTGAGCAGTGACTGAAGCTTGCAGTACCCCCTTCCCCAAAATTAGAGAATCCGCTGCTGGATCTCTGGTCAGACACATAGGGGAGTGGTCATGCAGCACTCGCGTGACCTCCATTGGCCTTTCTACTCTGCCTCTGCTAAACAGAAATCAGTTAACCTTAAGCCTCCCTACCATGCCCTTTGGGTTATCACTTAGTGCAGGGAGAAGCTCTGAGATACATCAGGACAAAGGAGGAGAAGGGCGGCATGGTGTAAGACTGTCAGTTTATCTGAGGGGTTCCCCAAACTGAGTAATTCACCTTGGTGCTTTCCACCTGCAGATCACTGACCCCTTCAGAAAACACCTTCCAGGCAACAAAATTTCCTGAACCTCCACTGTTGTCTCTGGTGAGGGGATGCTGCAAAGTGAGTCAGAACCCTGTCCCCTAAGAGTTTGGGAGACTGGATGAGGGGAAATAACCAGCTCTTTGATTGGAGTGCTGGAGGGCTTTCTACGATAGAGGGAGCGCACATGTGGCAGGGAGAAGGCTTAGTGCTGGCGTAGGGCCTGAGCCTTGACGTAGCATCTCCTCAAGAAACAACAGAAGAAACCAGGGGTGCCAACAGTTCAGAGATGGAGGAAGGTCTGGTGTGGCCGGAGCAGAGATACGGGCAGAGCTTTCGCCCCATGGTAGCATCTAAGTACCCCGGCCAAGCACCTGCAGGCCAAGGCTAGAAGACTGCATGGAGCAGACCCCCTTAGCAGCTTCCCACCACCTAGAGCCAGGAAATTCAGAAGTTTCTAATACCTTTACCCTCTGTGATTCTCACAGCCACTGAGTGCAACAGGCAGGATGAGTTTAATTACTCTCCCATTATATGAAGAGAAAATACCGAGGGCTGCAGGAATAACTTCTCAAGATCACTCTGTTGATCAGGGATGGAACCAAGTGTCTCTAACCCTGGGCAGCAGGCTCTATCTCCTTGACACAGCTGTAGAGTCACACAAGTGACACAAGTGACATTTTGACCTAAGAAAAGCCTTCTTCTGTCCTGGTCATGTTCCCTGTTCATTTGGCGAGGCAAGAGGAGTTGGTGGGGGAGCCCTGCAGTTTTGTTTTCCTGCTAGTGTCAGACCCCCCAAAGCCAGCTGAGAGAAGGCATGTGGGGCCACACTGTCCTAACAGGCAAGTCGGGCTGTGAAATGGTGACAGGAGAAGGTGGACTGTCCAGGAGCAGGTCCGGGAGAAGCAGCCTTCAGGGAAACAGTCTTCCAGCAGTGCTATCCTGTTAGAGGCCTGCATTGCCAGCAGAGGGTAAATCCCAGCATGCACCATCGGATGGCTTCAGAGGTCCTTGAGCTGTAGGTTAGAGGAGCCCCTCAGTCAACTTGTCATGCCTCTGTTCTGTGGCAGCCCTGAACTGGGTCCCAAGGGCGCCAGGTCACACTCTGCCATGATAGCTCAGTCAGGGAGAAGTGGGGTGGGCTCCTGCCAAGCTGTGCCACCGGAGGAGGCAGTAGTTGTCTGTGGACAGGTGAGAGTCCAGTAGGCAGAAGGGGAAGAGGGAAACTCGGGGCCCCAGGGTGTGGTCAGGCAGTGAGTAGTGTGATGTGAGCCCAGCAGAGGGCCTTCCTGAGATATAAAATCCTGAAAACAATGATTCACCTTCATAGTTTCAAAATTATTACACACTTGCACTGTGGAAAAAACTCAAGCAATGCTGAAGTAAAAGCAAGATCCTCAATGTACTAGTCATTAGAAGTAATTACATTGTCTGTTTAGTCTGTAACTTTCCAGAACATTTTCTGTATATATAGAAACATGAATATGCCTGTGTGTACATCATGTACATGTTTTTAATGGGGTTACATAGTACGTATGACTGCAACTTGATTTTTTTTTCTTCAACAATGTGTCTTGGTCATTTTCTTTTACTTTTTCTTTCTTTTTTAAAGATTTATTTTTGACCTAAGAAAAGCCTGCATACAGAACTGGGGTACAGGCCAGAGGTGCAGGGGCGGTGAGAGGATTCACCAGAGACAGAGTGGGGAGCAGGACAGGCAGCTCGATGAAGTACACTGCTGAGGGGAGCTGCTGCACCATGTGGGTCACCTCCAGGGCGGGGATCGAGCTCTCAGGACGTGGCCCGGCCAGCTTCTCAGTGCTGCACTGTAAACCATTGCACCACCAGGGCCTGTCTTGGTCATTTACTTATGTCGGTGCTTGTAGACCTGCCATGCATGTTTTATGGTGAGGAGGCTGCATAACAGGCCTGTGGAACAAAACCGGGTATTTCTTAGTTATCCATTCAAAGAAATTCTAGGCCTTCACAGGTAAATAAATTTGCTTCCCCTCATTATTGATGTAACATTATATTTTATTGTGTATTTGCACCTTGCTGGGTTCACTGACTCTGTGTGTGTGTGTGTGTGTGTGTGTGTGTGTGTGTGTGTGTGTGTGTGTGTGTGTATAGGACATCAAATATGTCAGCCCTGGAGCGGCCATCTTGACAACTGTGTGGTGCCCCAACTCTGCCCTCCAGTTTGCTTAGAGCCGTGGTTCTCAGCGTGTCGGGCCTGGAGCAGCTGCATCAGCTCCACCTGGGAACTTGGTGGGAACGCAGAATCTGAGTCAGTAGCTCGAGGTGGCCCTGGCAGTGTCCGTTCACAAGCCTGTTGGTTCTGATCATGCTCGAGAGTGAGAGCCCCTGCTTTAGAGACCGCCACTCACCGTTCAGGCGCATCCATCTTTGGCTGTTACATACCATGCCAAAGTTAATCTTTGCTCTTTCACATTTACATCAAGGATAGATTCCTTGAATTTGGCATGTTTGACTTAGACGGGGTTTCCCACCTACCCACCAGAGACTGTCGGCGTCCACTCCCGCCAGCAGTGAGCACCATTTCTGTTGAATGGCTACTTAAGAGGTCCATTCCTCAGAGGTTTGTGAGCTGGTTTAGATACTGCCTGCCTCTGGCAGCGTAGGTGTTGAGCAGGAAGGGACAGGAGATGGGTGGTTGTGCACCTGACTGCAGTGGAGCCGGAGGATCAGAGCAGGAAGCAGAGTGGTGGTGAGGGGAGTGAGTGAATGTGGTGGTAGGAGAGGAGACCCTAGGATGGTCAGGTGGAGCGACAGAATGGCAGGATAGTCTGCAGATTTAGATCATTTCTAGGGCATGCCCTGGAAGTTACACCCCAGAGCTCCGGCTGAGCCAGTGCCTGGGGCTGGGCCTGTCTTCCGTCACCACTTTTGCTTCCACCCTGATAACGGAATATCCAGAATGGTACTAGAAGCTAAATTTATTTCTGCTATTTGTGTCACCACGCATCCCCTCCCCCCCACCCATTATATTTTGTATTTCAGAAGCTATGGGGTTTGTCTAAAAGCATCTGATTTTAAAAATCTAAATTAACTTTGTAGAGATTCCTAACAACTTTTAATATTTTGTAATTGCATGTGAGGTTTGACTCTCTGGTTGCCTATAGGATTCTATTCCTCAGAAAGGTTACAGGTTCCTTGAGCATCTTGTCATAACCTTCCAGCAGAAATTTCCAGACAGGAAAGGTAGAGGTCATCTAGGGCAGAGTGGCCAAGTGTGGTCTCTGGAACCAGCCTGCCTCGGTTTGAGTCCTGGTTCTGCCACATTCCAGCTGATGTCCTTAAGCAAGTTGTTATCACCTCTCTGAGCCTCAGTTTCCTCATCTGTAAAGTGGCGCTATTAAAAGCACCTGCTTCATGGGGGCTTTTTGAGGATTCGTGCAAAGCATGTAGAGCTCTCAGTCGGTGTTATTCTTATCACTGCTCTTGGCAGTCAGATTTCCAATCTCCCCCATCTGACTCAACATTGCAGCATGGGGTATTTATAACAGTCACTTGCAGAGGAAATCAAATCACTCTGTAGGGTGGGGCATCTGTCCAGCCTTGGTTTGTCATCAAATAGTATCAGGCCTCTTCCCACCACAGGAAGTGAGGCTGAAAAGAGCATGTAGAAATGAGCCATAACCCTGGCAGTAGGTGAACGCAGCGTGCAGGTTCACGTGTGTGCTGCCACCCCCTGTCCACCGCCTGGCCAGCTGCTGCTCAACCCGGTGTCTGTCTGACCCCTCCTATGAGCCAGGCCCTGTGCTTGACCTTCAGAGCCTTGTTTGAGTGGCTTCTGCTCAAGCTGCCTCTGACACTCTCCTGCTTCGCTGTAGGAGTTCTGTCCTGCTTCCTCACCATCCCCTCGTACTTAATGCTAATACAAACAGTTTATACAACTGGGGTGAAGTGCTCTGAGGCACAACATGTAAGTACTACCAATGCAAAACAGAGAATCCTGACAACTCAGGATTTATGGTTGAAGAAATTGAGGCTCTGTAAGAGCGTAACTTTCCCAAAGTCCCACAACTGGGAAGAAGTGGAGCCAGGAGTCAGACCAGGCCCTTTGGACCCCCCCTCAGCCATGGAAACATGGCTAAGCCACGTAACACACCAGTTTGTGTGTGTGTCACACTGTTCTGGGATGTTCTGTTTACACCTCAAGGTCTTGACCTACTTGCCTGGAACTCTTCAAGTCAGGGGGAGCTGTCTCGTTTATTTCTGCACTCCTGGTACAGGGTAGCTAGGCCAGCCGCCTGGAATTTCAGGTTAAGGGCTATGCTCACCTCTCCCTGGTAGTCACCGCCCATGTAGGATCATAGTTCTGTACGATTTTCACATCCTGGGCAGGCAGCCGCCCCCTTAGCATGAGTTGTCCAGTTGTTGTTTTTTTAATTAAGATTTATTTATTTGTGCATACAGAACTGGGGTACAGGCCAGAGGAGCAAGGGCGGTGAGAGGAGTCACTAGAGAGTGGGGAGCAGAACAGGCCGACTGACAAGTACACTGCTGAGGGGAGCAGCGGGCCGGTCAGGAGAGGTCTCACACTGAAGTGGCTTTAGCCTCTTACTGCTGTGCTTTAACCTGCTGCGCCACCAGGGAGGGCCACTTGGTTTTTCAGAGGCTCCGCAAGCCCAGAACACTGGTGAGACTGCTGCAAACAGGGCCCCTCATCTAGAGGAGCTGTGCCTCATTTGTGGGGTGGCCTTAGGGGAGGTGGAGCCCAGGCACTGAGGAGCCCGCGGCTCTTGTGGACAGAATTTCACTTTGGCTGAGCAGAAGGCTGATCTGGCATTGCTGGGATCGGCAATGATGGTGTTATTGAATAGTGGGTCTGCAGTGGGAAAACAGGCTTTCCCACTGAGGACATCTGGAAAGACTTTATGGTGGTGACATTTGTTGTGAAGACTGAAGCTTTTGCTTACCAGAGGCCCTGGAGAGCATTATAATCGTGAAAACTTTTGACTCTGTGTTTTAATATAAATCTGAACCAGAAACATGACTATTGATAGATTTTCGTTAGAAATAATTTGGCGTGAATTCTGTGAAGCTGATTTTATCCCTATGTTGCACTGTTACTCCAGTTCCAACTTTTTCCATATTTATAATACTGAAATTATTTTTGATTGCATTCAGTTTTTTCTGTATAAATATTTATCCCCCATCCGCTCTTTACCCTGATCACATTCATGCCAGCCATAACATCTGCCATTGCAAATTTAATTGTGGTTTTATTCTTACCAGATTCAATTTTCCCAATTAAGGTTTTGCCCCCAGTTAAATTTCTGAAGCTTGAATTGTGTCAAGTGTACTTCTCCTTGTCGTTGGTATCCTCCCACGAGTAGTTTCAGCCATTGTCAGTTTGTTATTGTGGGATTATTTCCACTCACTATTCGCTGAGTAGAAGTAACCCTGCTCATCTCTTAGCTAATCCATGGAAAATTGCAGATAGTTGTCATGACGCCTCAGGCTGCCTGCTGTCCAGTTTTTCGGGGGTTTTCTTTCCATTATTACGGTGCTATCACTGCCTCTGCCCTGGCCCTCACCCCCTGGACTGCCCCGTCTAGGGAATCTCCTCAGTGGCAACAGGGCCGGGGCAGAGCCTTTTGTGCTAGGTTGGGGAGGCGTCAACTGGCTGGGAACTCCCTGCACGAAAGCCTGAGCGCTAGAGTGTGGGGAGGTGAAGGAGCTCTGGGGGCATCAGGTTCCCATCAGAACCCGCCCTTGCAACCGAAACCACACCCTGCTCACGCAGTGCCCCGTTCTCTTCCAGAGCCCCTCCGACATGCCCGAGACCATCACCAGCCGGGACGCGGCCCGGTTCCCCATCATCGCCAGCTGCACGCTCCTGGGGCTCTACCTCTTTTTCAAGGTAAGCCCTTTGCCACCCGTGTGTCGTTCGGTTTAAATGACTTTCTTTTCTTTTTCTCATCACAGGAGACATGCATGTCCATTTACCGAAAATATAGAACGGGGAAAATAATACTTGACCTCGGGTCCCTTCCCCAGAAACAAGCACCATTGGTGTTTGGAACTCCTTCCCACTGCTCTTCATTTCTCGGGTAGCTTTTTGTTTTATTTTCTTGATACCAGTTTGGTCTCATCGTTCCATTTATTTCGGGCTGGGGATAGCTTGTGTTTCAGACATACCTCTACCATACTAATTGCTTTTTTTTTTTTAATTTATCGAGGTTTATTTTCCCAATAAAAGTTACACAGGCTCAGTGTTGAAAACCTGGAAAACACAGAAAAGTAAAAAGGGAAAAACAGCAGTCATCCAAAACCCCACCACCAGAGACAGTCACAGATCCCCTCTGGAGGTGTGTCCTTCGCTCTTCTCCCGTGCATGGTCCCTGTGGCCACGTGGCGCCTGTCTCTAGCTGCTTCTCCACTCCACATTAACGTCATCGGCATTTTCTCATGTTACTGCAAACTCTCCTCAGACCTCTTTTTTTTTTAATATAACAGGTATTGTTTTCTGATTGGGAAGGTAGGATATGGAGAAAACTTAAAGGAAGAATACCAAGAAAGGGAAAAGTGCAGAGAGAATCACTATGAACATTTTGGCATATCTTCTTTCAGGCTACTAATAAGCATATTTTTAACATAATTTTAATCATGGTAACTGCAGTGTTGTGTCCTTTTGTTTTATTAATAGCATGTCACTAGCACTTTTGTCCTGATGGTTGAAAACTCTTCAAGGATGAGTTTTAGTTTACATTTTAAAAATATATGCACTTAGTTAAGAATGTTTCCAACTAAGGGAAGATACAAATGTCCTCCCCCCAATGTAGTTTCTCTTTAGCAGACGTTTGTTTAAGTTGAATTCTAAAAACAAAAACGAGTCAAACATCATTGCTTACCATGGAGATATGTTTGTGTCAGGTAGTGAAATCTGTGCTTTTCCTAGGAGCTGCTGTGGCTCTGAGTTAGGGATGTGGTGCAGTCAGCCCTAGTTCTCAGTGAGGTCTGCGCTAGGCCAGCGAGAGACTGTGGCACACGTTTCCTCTGACAGCTGCAGTGGCCGGCCTCCCTGTACTCCCACCTGCCATGGGTAACATTACAACTCTTTATTTTTATCAGTCTGAGTGAGTCAAAAACAGTTTTTACTGTTTCCATCACTCCCTGGTCAGATACTTGTAACAACCTTATGCAAATCGGCCATTCTGGGTTTTACTCTTCAAGAAGAGTGCTCCAAATAACTTTAGTCACCGTTGGTTTGTTTATGCTGGACCTCAGGTGAAAAATTGAATTTACCTGTCAGGTGCATTCGTTCCAAGCATATCATCATTGGTCTGTGCCAAGCCCTCGTCCTTGCTCCTCCTCACTAATGCCCATCTCCATTCCAGCCTTCATTTCCTTTTCCACCAGAGGTGCCTGCTCTAATGCATTTGATTTATGTCCTTAGGTGTGTATGTCTCCTCATAAACGCTCTGCCATGGGAGAGTTGTGTGTGTGGCGTGGGAGTCAGTTTCCACAGTAGAGCCGTGTGCAGTGGCCAGCCCCCTCCTGCCTTCCTGTCCCCTTGCCTTTGAGATCTCCCGGGGGCTCATGTGCTCCTGGCCCCTTGCCTCTGTTGGCTGTGCTACTGCCGGCAATCCACAGGCCCTTGCTCCAGACTGCCTAACTTTTTTAGTATTTTGGGTTCTTTCCTTAGGCTAGATTCTCCAGCAAGGAGTTTCTGACAGCAGAGGGAGTGAACACTTTTAAGTCACTGGATGCCTTTTGCGCAGCTTATCCTCTCCAGGCAGGTAAACCCCAGCCTGCCTTGTGCCAGAGGATGTGGAGTGCCTCTCCCCATTCCCACAGTCCCATGCTGAGATTTCTGAAAGGCAGCTGCCTGGACAACACCCCCAGATCCTCCCAGACACCAGCTGCTTGGTGGGTTTGCTTAACAGTGGCTCTTACTGAACCCCTTTCTCCTCCTCCTGGAGGGGCACTGGAGTGGTCACATTTCTCCAACCCATAAAATTTACTTTCTCCCAGTTCATTTAAAACAGATGCTTTGAGGCAGCTGATAGAAATTAAATCTAACAGCGTAAGAAAAATAAGTAAAGGGAGGAATTGGAGTAGAATAGACCATTAAAACAGGGTAAGGCTTCGAAGCCTCGAGTAAGGTCCAGATGCAGGCCCTCAAGACTGAACTCCTGCTCCAAGTGCCTCCAACGCCAGCGTGGCTCTGGCAGGCTGGCGCAGAGGAAAGTGGAATTTGCTGCACTGTGCATGCCTCGAGGTCAGAGCAGCCAGAAACTCAGAGGGCAGCCAGAGAGCGATGTTTCCCACATGCCCGCATCTCATCTCCACAGCACACATGGACTCTGAGGTGCTCATCCAGTCAGTCCTGCTACAGAGGCTTCCTGAGCGCCTGCTGTGCGCCAGGCCCCGTGCTGGGTCGGGACACCGCAGTGAGAAAAGCCGCTGGCCCGCCCCTGCCTCCTGCCTCAAGGAGCGCCTTCCTGAGAGGTGGCGGCAGCCACCAACCAAGTGATCACACAGCTGAATGGGACCCAACAGTCCTCCTCAGGGGCCGTGGTACCAGGCAAGCACAGAAGCCCGCCTAGAGGGAATCCTTGCTCCGCCCTAGCCCCCAGGGCACACAGCAGCGTCCAGTTCACTTGCTGCCCAGCCAAACGCCCCAGGAGTTGCCCTCCCTGCGCTCGCTCTCAGCGTGCAGCTCTAGTTCTGACCACTGCGCACACGAGCCCCAGCCCAGAGGCCCTCCCCATGCTGTCTGCACTACCGACAGCGCTACGCTGTGTGGAGCCGGCTGTCGGGGCACACACAGAGTGCCCGTAGGCCCCGGCACCAGCTGCTCCTACCCAGACTTACCTGAAGTCTTTTGCAAAGGGCTCTGGGTCCTGCTGCCTCTCACCTCCCAGCTTCATCTGCCCACACTTTCTAGTCCTCGGCCCCAGGCTCTGCAGTGCCTGCTGTTCCCTGCACAAGGACCTTTGCACTCACGCCTCTGCCTTACATCCTCACAGGCGCCCCGTTGTCTTCAGGTTTCTGGTCCTGAAGGGAGTGTCCTCTGTCCCTCAGGCGCCTCTCCCTGGTGACTGGACTGAGATAGCAGCTCTCCCTCACTCTGCTCACCTTGTTTGGCTTTGCTTCTTAGCATCCATCACCACCTGACAGTGTGGCATGTTTATTGTTTTTTTCAGATTCTTTTTTCTTATTGGCACTTCAACTCCATGCGGGCAGAGCCCTTCTGCCCTCTTCCTTGCCACTCCCCCAGCAGTTAGCAACTGCACATAACAAGTGAACAGTAAGTAGGAAGAGGCAGTCGTGTCCAGGAAAGCGTCTCTGAAGTGGGGGCTGAAGGATGAGCAGGAGTGGCCCAGGTGACGAGGGGAACCTCCCTGGCAGCAAAACATGTGCCCACGCACCCCATGGATGGGACTGGCACGAACAAGGCCCTGCGAAAATGCCGGCATGGCCACAGCCTGTAAAACAAGAGCAAGCATGGCTTGGCGGCTGCCGAGGTGGCCTGTGGTGGTCACCAGAGAGCCCAAGAGGCCAGGGAAGGCTTGGGCCTTGCACAAATGAGAACAGAAGGAAGCTGTTGAGAGACTTTAAACAGGGGAGTGGCACGGTCGGGCAGCGGTTTACGGAGTCCATGCAGCCTTGCTTGAGAGCAGCCACGCGCCTGCCCGACACAGCAGCACATCCTCCCTCCCATGAGGCACCATCACAGTACAGACTTCAGGAGACGGTACAGCAAATAGGGAGTGATGTGGCATAACCTTTCCAGAGTCCAGAATAAACAGTGACAGTTGGCTTTGGAGCACTGGAAAGAGGACATCTCAGTTTCACCTACCAGTTAGGGGCCAAGAAGCTGTCGGGGCCTGCTGACATTCCTTCCAGCTGTGGCTGAGAGGAGCCATCCGGAAGAGCACAGTGTGGCGAACGGAGTGGGCGCACCCATGCGTGGGGCCTTGGTGGCCCTGTAGGAGCTCCTGGGCTTTGAGCAGGGAGGAGGAAACTTAGAAGAATGTATTCCAAGATTCCAGAGACTCGCTCGGGACTCTGAACCTCCGTCTCCCTTCCCCCATGATTCCCACATAAGCCTCCAGGCAGACATCATAATCCCTGACTCCAGGTAATGGAGCTACCGAGTGCAACCCACAGGCGCCTTCAGGAGGTGCATCTGGGGACTTGGAGTTCCGTCCATTTTTCCATAGCCACAGAAACTAAGCTCATAGTGCTGTCTGAGAGTCTCCCTGACACTGTTCCCCTCCTCCAGAAGGGGGACACCAACCTTCACAAGAGAAGTAAGAACTCTGGCTTCTTTGTGGTTACCTACAATTCTGACTTTCTGTTTCTCTTTGTATTTCTGCCTCAGATATTCTCCCAGGAGTACATCAACCTTTTGCTGTCCATGTATTTCTTCGTGCTGGGAATCCTGGCCCTGTCCCACACCATCAGGTCAGAAGGCATCTCTGCAACCTTTGAAGCCGCTTTCTCGAGAGCCAGGACAGGGTCTCAGATGAGAACATGACCTTTGGCATCATTCAGAGCTGGGTTTGAATCCTGGCTGTAAAACCGAAGGGGTTTTTTCCCCTGGCCACACTGTGAGTGACCTGGAGCGACAGCCAAGCCAGTTTCCTCACAGGGAGTGAGAAGGGTACCTCATGGTTGTGGGAAAAGCTTTTTGTGAACAGTCGTCATGTCCGTGGCCTGCCTCTGGCCTAACCCTGTGGCCTGCTGTGGCCAGCCCTGAGCCAGGCTCCTCACAGGTGGTCTCATTCATAATGAGGGTGAGGCATGGGGTGAGAAGCTAACAAGTGCAGCCTCTGGGATTTGGCTACCAGACTTTATTTCAGTCTCTGACCGTCACTGGCCCTGACTTTAGGCAAGTTACTTATGTCTCTGTGGCCTCAATTTCCTCATCTACACATGGTAGAAAATATATGGAACCTTCCTCATGGGTCATGTGGAAACTAACTTTCAGTTTAGTATCTGGCACCTAATGTGTTAATAATGCTCATTTCCTATGTTGGCCTGATAGCTTTACGAGGTTAGCTTTTGTTGTTAATCCTATGCTACATTTGGAACATAGTTCAGTCAGGTTAAGAAATTTGCTAGCTAATAAACAGCAGAGCCAAGCTGCAAAGCCAGGTTTATGTGGCCCGAGAATCCATCCTCTTCCCACGGCACCCTGCTCAGATTGCCACAGGCTTGCAGGTGGACAAACCATCTAGACCAGCAATACCCAGGGACCCTACTGTTCTTTTCAACAGGCCAGTTTTCCTTTGTTGTAAACATTTGGCACCCCTAGACCCACTAGGATGCCATTAGCAAATGGCAGTTAATGGCCTCAGCCCTGCCACTAGCTTATGACTAAAAGTGTGTCCCAACATGTGTCCATCTGGCCTCTTGAGGTGGCTTCAGGCTGAGAACCAGTGACAGACCATCATGTGGCCAGCAGACCTGGGAGAGTTCCCACAAATAAGGAACACAGCTTGAACTCAGGTGTGGGAGACAGGAAACCTGGAAGGGGTGCATGGAGGGAGAAGCCAGCCAGGTAGAAAGGGAAAAGGCAGTCACCCAAAACCCCACTACAGAGACAGTCACAGATTCCCAACGGGTCTGTCTACACACGCGGAAGGCATAGCAGGGTCCCAGAACACTCAGAGAAAAAGCTAGAGAGAAAGAGCGGCGTCTGCTCACAAAAGACAGCCAGGGCAAATGTGGCCTCCCTCTGGTGGGTCAGTAAGGGAGTCAGATTTGTTAGCAGCTGAAATTTGTTGTGAGTCAAGTGGCTGGCCCAAGGCCACACAGCTGGCCTTGGACACTTCTGTTCTGACCAAGTTCAGTATTTTCTACAGCTACACCTTCACTTACCCACCACACTCCCACACTGCCTTGCATGGGGGGACTTCTAGTCCAGCCCCCCAGCTTAAAAAAAGGCAGGCTCGAATGCTTGAGAACTGGGCCTAGCAAGATGTTGGTACCCTTCCCTGAAGGACCGACCTACTGGGCTTGGGGGCCAGTTGCCAGCACTGTGGCCCCGCTTTTCCTAATTAGGATCTCCTAGCTCTAGCCCACCCCACCAGGCATTGACAAGAGCCTGAGACCTCCAGGCTCCCCACAGCCCAGCCACACCTCTGAATGAAAAAGCCCAATAGCCTTCAAAAGCCCCAGCAGGTGGTGTGCCCAGAAGCTGACGAGTCTCTCACCCCACAGGGGTGCGCCAGCCACTGCCTGAGCAGGATTCTGGAACCTGTAGTGTTTTGACACCAGAGACACTTCCCTTTTGAAACAATCTCTGAGAAGCAGGTTCCCAGGTTTCTCATGGTTTAACTGAGAGAAGACAGTTGTCTCTCAGCCAATTCATAATTTTTACTGATAGAAATTATTAACACAAAATAGAGCCGACAGAAGCGCAAACTTCACATGGTGAAATTTGTTAGCATCTGAAATTTAACGAGAATCCTTTCCTTGAGAAGGTTTAGAGAACAACATTTGATCTAGGAAAGTTAATCCTTGTGAAAATAATGACTAGCCCTCAGCAGAAGGGTGCTGTCCCCATGCAGGGTCAAAGCCAGTCTCTGAAAAATTTGACATGAACCAATAAAATTTATGTGGAAGAGTTAAATCCAGTAAGAACAATTTTAGTAAAAAAGGGAGGGGTGCGAACCTCGTTGTTAGAATTTCGGTAAGCTGTTCATGTCCACACAGTCAGGATCCAAACAGCAATGTCTGGAGGTTCAAGACGGGGCGATAAAGCTCAGGGGCTCACGGCTCGGAGGAGCACGCAGGGTCTGGGTCACACCACTGTCAGCGTTCTTTCCAACTCTGGCAGAAGTGAAGAGCTTACAGTGGCCGGCCTGGCTGTCCACTCCCAGGGGCCAGTGGGCTTGGCGGTCTCCTGGAGATTGGCGAAAGGGAGACCTGCTGCGTCAGCGGCCCTGCAGTGGCGGCCGTGGCAGAGGTTCTCACAGAAGGGCTTCACGCCCCCCCCAGGCCCCACCTCCCACCCACCTCAGGCCCCTCTAAAGAAACCACAGCCTGAAGCTTCAGTAGGAGGTGAGCCCGAGACTCAGGTAGTCCCCAGATCTTCCTGTGAAGGGCCCTCAGGTTACTGTTACTCGAGCCATGCCATAGCCAGCTGACCTTTAGGGAAAGAAAGGCCAAAATCTGCCACCCCATGAGGAAGAGGCCACATCAGATGTTTTGCGGACCTTTACTTCCACAGCCAGGGGAGAGGGGCACTGGAACTTGCTTTCCAGAAGCCATGACCTTTAGTTTTGATGTGAGCCATCAAGGGCCAGAAGAATCTCTGCTGCAGAGACTGCAGAGAGCCGTTCAGCATTTACAAGCTCCCCACTAGGCAGGGCAAAGACAGGACCCTCCATCAGTTCCAGCCTTGTTGCTTACACCTGGTCCTGTGTTAGCCGGCTGCCCCTCTTTTCTGGAGATAACATCAATGTATAAACTTTCAACTTGAAACTAAAGCTACGAGTCGCTGAAGGGTGCCTCACATGCACTTAATCCTCTTTACAAGCCTGTGAGAAAGATTGTTGTCATGCTCCAAATGAGGAAAGAGTTGCACAGAGCAGTTAAATAAGCTTCCCAAGATCACTCAGCTATTAGGGGAAGAGCCAGGATTTGAACCCGGGAAGTCTGGCTGCAAAGTCCATGCTCTTCACCACTGTGCTCTGCTGGTTGAGGAGCTAAGCTTCAGCTTCCTAAGAAGAGCCAGGTAGGCCTGAACTCAGCCTCTCCACACACCCTGGCTTCAGTGATGGTTATAGCATCATTTATGAGTCAATACGATTTCGCATACTGAGTTCGGGGTGTCTTCCAGCCTTGTCACATCACCCCACCTTGGCCTCCCACGTCCTCACACCCCTGCTGTAGAAGCCCACTATCACAAACACTCGCACCTGTGGGAGGCATTGGCTGACACATGTGGAAACTGAGGCACAGAGATAGTTGAGCCCACACCTTTCTCCAGGGCCACCAGGTCTCAGAAAGAAAGCTCTTATCTCCGTGGCCTCGGTACCTCTTGGCCTGCCTCCATTTCCCTGCCGGTTGGGAGCACCTTTCTAGATTTCCCTACTTCAGCCATCATTGTCATACTCATCTAGTGTAGCCAAATGCTTTGGAGTTCAGGCTCTGGATAAGGGCAGGTGATGATGGGAGCTTCCGGTTGTGGGTCCTCTGCTGAGCTAAACCCCCTGCCTTCTCTCAGCCTCAGTATAATCCCCACATCGCTGTGGAGACTGAGCCACTGAAGGGCCTTCCCAGGGCCACAGGGCTGCGTGTGGCAGCTCAAGCTTCAGGCTGGGCTACCCTGACTTGCAGCACTGCAACACTGTGCCCGGGGCCAGGCTGGATGCCCAGCCTAGTCTTGCTCTGAAGGCGCCCCAGAAAGACAGTCTCCTTTGCTTGCCTGGCAGGGAAGGAGAGTAATCAGAGCGAGTGCTTCCAGAGAGGAGACCGCCCATCCTGAGCCGCAGAGGCCTGTGGAACGAGTGAACGTGAGGCGGCTCCCACCTCAGGGGTTGTGACTTGTCCGGCCAATCAGGTCCGGCAGACCTGTACAAAACCTCAAGCCTGATAAGCCCCAGAAAGGGCAGAGGTGACCTTCGGGATGGATCCAGAAGGGTGTACAGGAACAGTGTGTTCTTGACAGCTCTTAGGTGGTGCATGGACCAGACTTGGGGATCCTTTGTTCTCCTAAAAACTGCATCTTACATGAAGTCTGACTGTCCCCGCATTGTGCCTTGGGTGCTGACCAAGAGGCAGGTGGTAGCCTGGGCATCCAGAGACGTGGTTCAGGTCCGGCTCGGTCCTGACTCCCCCTGTGGCTCTGGGTAGTCGCCTGCCTCTGAGCATCGGTGTCCCCGTCTGTAGAAGGGGGACAGCAGCACCTACTGCCGGGGCGGCCCGGAGGGTACCGGGAGGTGGCCACGCTCAGTGCCTTTTGGGGGCTCTGGCCAACCTGCTTTGTCTTTCCTTCCAGCCCCTTCATGAATAAGTTTTTTCCAGCCAACTTCCCAAATCGACAGTACCAGCTGCTCTTCACTCAGGGCTCCGGGGAGAACAAGGAAGGTCAGTGCCGCCCCCACCCTGGGTGCACCCTGGTGTCTCCCAGCTCCAGGAAGGGTGGGCTCACCTCCCAGCTCTGCTGTGACCTAAATGGGGGACTCTGGGTGAATGCCTTTACCTCTCTGCAGTGGGGGGAAGGGGGCGCGGGGGAGGGCAGTGTGGAGGGTTGTTTCTGATCCAGTAAGTGAGAAGCAGCATCTGACACCTCCCTCGGCACGGCACATTGTCAGGTGGTTAGCGAGCGCTGCAGAGGCGCCCTCTGCGCCCTGCTGGCCGGACGGAGCACCCTGGAAAAGTGGGTTCTCTGCGCTATTCTAACATGTCTGCTTTTAGAGGGAGTGCTGTCCTACCTGGGACTTGAAAATGGGGTTCTGTGGCTCTTAAAAATGCAAACTGGGTCCTCCCTGGTGGCGCAGCGGGTTAAAGCACAGCACTGAGAGGCCAAAGCCACTTCAGCATGAGTTCGATTCCCGCCTGCCCCAGAGGTGACCACATGGCGTGGCAGACCTCTCCTGACCCGCCCGCTGCTCCCCTCAGCAGTGTACTTCCTCGATCTGCCTGTTCTGCTCCCCACTCTGTCTCTGGTGAAGCCTCTCACCGCCCCTGAGCCTCTGGCCTGTACCCCAGTTCTGTATGCACAAATAAATAAACCTTAAAAAAGAAATGCAAACTGAAGAGAGCTAGGGAAAGAACTTTGGGGCTGGCTGGGGCACAGGCCCGAGTGCTGTAACAAGCATGTTACAATGGTTTGCTGCGCCCACTGCCGCAGCACGCGCCCCGCCCCGAGAGCAGCGGTTTTATGTGACGGCTAAGCGTGTGCCACACGGTCTCTCACGCTGTCTCCCTGCCGTGGCAGTGGCCGTTGGGCCAGGTCTATGCACCCTCACTCTGCAGCCCAGCCAGAGGGAGAGGCAGCTGTGCCATGGACCCGTGTCACTGCGGGGAGAGCTAGAAAGTGTGCCAGGAGCTGGCCTGTGCCCAGTTAAAAACCATCAGAATGCTGTTACCACAGAGGCGAGGACGGAAACTCGCACCAACCATAGTCTGCTCCTCTGTGCAGTTTGAAAGAAACAGCTGTCCTCTGTGAGCCGGGCTGGGACGCCACAGGCCCGGCTCGGCTCCCTGCTGCGGCGGCCTCGGGGCTGCCTCCCGCTTTTCCAGGGCCTCCCACCTCCCTGCTCCTGCTCCACGGGTGTCACAGGGCTGCGGCAGCCTTCCTGATCCCTGTGGTGGCAGCAGGGATTCCCCAGTGAGCTGGGGCCTTGCTGAGGCTTGGGTCCGGTGGCAGCTGGCATGGTCTGAGCACCTCTGGGTGCCAGGAACTGTGCTGAGCGCTTTGTAAGGACCATCTCCCATGTGCCCCCCAGCAGCCCTGTGAGGGATGTGCTGTGACCCTCTTGTTGCAGATGAGAAAACTACCTTCCCCCATGGTCACCCACCTGTAAGTGCAGAGGCTGCATTTCTCTCTGGGTCCCTCTTCTAGGAAATCAGAGGGGCTGGGGTGGTTCCAGTGAGCACCCCGGCCTGTATGCCTCTGACAGTGCCCACAGCCATGCCCTCCTCCGTCCAGGGGCTGACAGGTGGGAGGGGCAGCCCCGCCCCGGGGAGTGGACTTACCCGGCCTCTCTGCCCAGAGATCATCAATTATGAGTTTGACACCAAGGACCTGGTCTGCCTGGGCCTGAGCAGCGTCGTCGGTGTCTGGTACCTGCTGCGGAAGGTAAGTAGCCAGTATCAGGGGAATGAGAAGGGGCCGGGCATGCGCGGCAGCTGGTCTCACTCCCACCTCCCGCAGCACTGGATCGCCAACAACCTCTTTGGCCTGGCCTTCTCCCTTAACGGGGTGGAACTCCTGCACCTGAACAATGTCAGCACTGGCTGCATCCTGCTGGGCGGCCTCTTCATCTACGATGTGTTCTGGGTGAGTCAGGCGGGACACAAAGAAGGCCGCGCCCCCCTGCCTTCCAGTGCCTGCCCCCACCGCCCCTCCCCACCCCCTTCTCTTGGGCCCAAGAGGCAGTCACCTGCTGAGGGCCCAGACACCAGAGCAGGTGCCTCTCATGTCTGACAAAAGCAGCCCCTCCCCTTGCTGAGACTGTCCTGTGCCTGTGCCTTCCAGCCAGCCTCGGGTCCTGCTCGGGTGGCCCCAGTGTCACTCAGGGTGTCGCTCAGTTCCGCATCACCCCGGTGAACGAGCTGCGACACAGCCAGCCGTTCAGGCAGTGTAGTAGGTAGAGCGCTGGCCCCCAGGTCAGGGACAGGTTAGCACAGCTGGGCTGACGCCCCAACCACACCCATGGGCCCTGCCCACCCTTTCCTGGCCTCAGGCTGCCTCTCCCTTTAGTGGGTGGTGCTGGAGGACTTATTCTCCTCAGAGGGGAAGAGCCCTGGGCAAATGAGAAACTTGCTGGAACCTTCCTGTAACCTCTCACACTCCTTCGACTCGACCCTTTTTGTTGCCTACAGCCTGGAATGCTGGGAAGTGTCCCAGTGACCAGTGTCACTGGCTGCCTCACCTCTGCTTCAGCTCTGCTCTGGGTCGCCCTCCACCCCAGCCCCCTCCTGGCAGCTCTCAGGCAGCAGCATGCGAAGGCCAAAGACTGCCATTCTGACCCACCATCTCACCAGACACCTCTCTCCTCCTTCTAGGTATTTGGCACCAACGTGATGGTGACTGTGGCCAAGTCCTTTGAGGCACCGATAAAATGTAAGCGACCTCCCCCACAGGCCTGATGTCCGTCCCCTCAGCCCCTGTTTTAGCCATATCTTGTCTCCTCCCTGCTTTGGCTTGAATAAACCTCTAGGGCCGGGCCCACGAGTCAGGCAAGGCACATTCAGTTTACTGGGAGACAGAGGATCAGCAGGAATGCGTCTGGGTCACTGCCCCCCCATGCCTGGGGGCAGAGTATTTGAACTGCCAGCCCCCCACAACCAAAGTGAGGTCAGTTCTCCAGAGTGAGAGGACAGATGCTGCACACGCCAGAACAGTTAGTCCCTGCACAAACTTTGACAGCTGAGCCCAGCCAAGAGCTCAGGAAAAGCTTTCCTGGGTCAGAAAGGATGACAGTGCGTTCACCAGGCCTGCAAGAGCAGTGTGGGCTTTTGGGGGAGTCCAGATTCAGCGGAGGGCTGGAGAAAACTGAGGGCCCTGGGGGCAGATTCAGGGAGGGAAGCAGCTGGAAAGACCAGATCTAGGGAGGACGGATTGCCGAAGCTTGTAAGGCTCTGAGTAGGGAAATGACGGTGTGGTATTGGTTCTGGTGTGTGGAACCTGGTTTTCTGGGCTGGGGAGAAGGCCTTGTGCTTCCAGTACGGGAGTGGCGCTCAGAGACAGTGCCGCAGGTTGAGATGTGCGTCGTGCTGAAGCCAGGCCGCCGTACTTCAAGCCCAGATCCGACGTCTGTTGGCTGTGTGGCCTTAAAGAGGAGACTTCCCCGCTCTGGGCCCTGGTTTCCACAGCTGCTACTCAGAATTGAACAGTCCGGCATGGAGAGGATCAAATGAGGATGTTTCTAGAGCATTGTGCAGTGGACACGTGTTGTCAGTCAAAGCAGGAAGAATTGAGCAGGGAAGGCCTCTCTGTCCCAGGAAAGCAAGAACGTACCTCCAGTGTACTCCTGGCCGCTGTACAGTTGGCCAAAACCAGGTCACATGACCACCCCTAGTGGCCGCAGGAGTAGGCGTTGAGTCTGGATTGTCTAATGTCTTAGCCTTGCCCAGGAAGGCGCGCCATACAGTCAGGGCTGGGCAGTGAAGAAGGGACGGTGGTGTGCGAGTTACTAATCCTCACCACAGCCTATAGCGGCGGGTCTTTTGTACCCATTTAACAGGTGAGAGAAGTTAAGGCACAGCCAGAGCCAGGATTCAGACCCACTCAGCCTGACTGAAGCCCACGTGTAACTGCTCTTCTACTTGCAAGGCCTTTTGCGAAAAACCTTACAGTTACTGGGCCTAGGGGAAGGGTTCTCTCAGTCTGCACCTACTCACACAAGCCAGCCAACAGGATTTCTGAGTGAGGCGTTTAAAGCAAGAAATTTGCAAGGGCGTAGCCGTTTCCCCTGGCAGATCCAGAAACTGTCCCAGCTTCCCCGCTTCAGAGTAAAGGCCATGGTCTATCCATACCTATGGTGTAGGGAGAAGGAAAGCTGGTTAGATGTGGGGAATACGTGGGCTCTTTCCTGTCTTTATGTGCTGGGCTGTAAGGCCGTGTTCCACGCCAGAATGGGTCACTGAAATTGCCTGTGTGGTGTGTTAGTTGTAACTCAACAAAGGCATTAAACTTTGGCCTAGGGGGCCTGGATTCTTCCCCGCGCTAATCAGCTGTGGTTCCAGATGGAGACCTTGCCCTTCATCCTGTCCACAACCTCTCCCTCCCTCCTCCCCTCCCATACATGCCAGTGTGTGAGACTCACTGGTGGGGGCTGGGAGTCGAAGAATGCAGGTCCTGACCAATTCCTCGCATGTCTGCCTCCCCCTGCAGTGGTGTTTCCTCAGGATCTGCTGGAGAAGGGCCTGGAAGCAGACAACTTTGCCATGCTGGGACTTGGAGATATCGTCATTCCAGGTGACCAGAGCTGGGTGGGAGATGCAGGGCGCGGGAAGGGTATTGCCTGGGTGGAGAGGCTGTGACACCAGCAGCCTCGCCCATGGGAAAAGAGGAGGGGGTTAGGCTGGTGATTGTACCCCCCCAGCCCTCGGTCAGCTGAGGGTTTGGTGAAGAATTGCAGGTGTGTGGTAGGTAGGCCTTGAGCTGGACACTAGGGGGCACAGCAGAGAGCAGGACAGTCCTCACAGAGCTTCTGGTTTGGTTGAACAGAGGTTACTCCGTTACAGAGTTCATGTTTAGTGACAGACTAAAACACACCCTGAGAAAGCACAGACCTTCACACACGTACATGTCCTCGCCCTTCCCGGCATTACATGTGGGCTTGGGCCGCTGCCGTCCGCATGCCCCTCCCCTCTCCAGTGCAGGAGGTGCAGGGAGCTTGCTGTGTGTGGACCTGGCCGCACTGGGGCCTGGGCTCTATGGTCTTGGCCGAGGGATGTGTGACATGCACGGTGTACGAGCTGACCTCTGACCCATGGCCCGTGTGGGTGCCGGTCAGTGCACCTGTGGGTATGAGCCCGAGAGCCCTGAATGCAACCCCGTGGTAGGCCTGCCTCCCTGTGGGCCATGACCTTGTCTTGTTCCAGGGCGCCAGTGGCCTGAACTGCCAGTCAGGCAAGTTGAGTGGCCACTCGGCAGGTGCAGAGGCTTGGTGCTGTATACTCAGATCTGGGCCTGGTCACACCTAAAGGGCATGAGTCCCACAGGCTCAAAAGAGGCCTATTGCTTACTTAAAAGCTTTAAAAAAAAAAAATTGTAAAACTTCAAAGTTTAAAACCTTTGGAAAATTAAAAACGAGCTTACTGTCCGCTGTAGACAGAAGTTGTTGCAGCATAACCTGGTTGGCACGGGGGCTTCTGACACGATGCTTTCTGTTGTGCCATGTGCGGAGATGAAGCAGAAGCTCAACGAGAAGAGCCTTATTATATAAACTCACCCACTCTAAGCAGCAGGGCCACAGCTCAGATCAGGTCTGTCTGGCTTAAAAAAAAGCTTTCCACAGTCAGAACAAACTGCTCTCTCAGCAGTAATAGGAAGCTACTGACCATGCGCTTGTGACATGGGCACACACCTGTGTGTGCCAGGCCCCACGCCAGGTGCATTTTATGCATTGTCCTAGCAGCCAGGTGAAGTAGAGGGTATTTCCACTTCACAAAGACTTGCCTAAGGTGTGGGCGTGTGGTCGGAGCCCAGGTGTTCCATGCGCTGCGGTGCTGTGTGCCAGGGAGATTTGCTTCCTGGGAAGAGGCAGCTCCTGCTGGAGGAAGAAGTTGAATGCCATAAAGCACCGGGCTCAGTGTGGAGCAAGGTCAGCCACAGGCCCCCCACAGACCTCCTAGTGTCTTCACTAGTTGTACCTCCGGGCTCGAGGCGTGCCCCGTCGTCTCGGCATGTCTCTGCACACAGCACATCCAGCTGAGTCTGTCAGTGGTCACCGTGAGCATAACCAGTTACACGCTCAGAGCCCTGGTGGTGTTTTCCAAAGAATGGGCTGCGCGTTTTGTTCTGAGATCAGCTGCATTCCTGGGAGTGAAAACTGCAGGCAGCACCTGGGTTAATTGGAGAATTCAGCCACCAGAGGGCGCTGAGTCCTCGGCTTTGGCCGGGGAGGAGGTGTCATTCGCCACCTGTCCACCCACTCACACAGCTTTCGCTGGATGTTGCCTGCTGAGAGTTTCTTACCAGAAAGTTTCTATCCTTGAGAGTCGACTCTGGACGAATGAGATTCAGCCCTTGCCCTGTCCAGCCCCTGGGCCTCAGGGACACAGACACTCAGAGCCGGGGCCGGCTGGCCGTGGCTCAGTAACTCCCAGGCCTCTCCGGTGTCTGGCCCAGTGACCTGTTCACTGTCTTGCTCCCTCCCACCTGGGACTCCCACTTGCCTCCACCCTCTAACCCTGGCTCTCTCCCTGCAGGCATCTTCATTGCCTTGCTGCTGCGTTTTGACATCAGGTAAGTGGCAGGAGCCCAAACTCCAGGCTGCGTGTATGAGGAGCCTTTCCTGGAGAGGGGTTCTCGCGTTCTCAGAAGCCCAGACCCTCCACCCACGGCACCCAGAGCAGTTCTGATTTTTATCTGCTTTTGAGTTTCTCAGTGTTCAAAGAATCTGCAGCCCAAAAAAACCCCAAAGAATCACCGAGCGAGAGACTGAAACCCAGAAGTCCTGGCGGTGCCCCTACTGCTTTCTCACAGTACGGCCTTGATGGGTGCCCCAGCCTTCCAGGGGCTTCCCGTCCTTAAGTTAGTAGCTAGCAGGCCCCAGAATTACCAAGACCGTCTGGAGAGCCCGGTGCACAGGCTGGCTCAGGAAATCCAGTCGCTGGAACAGTCACCATGGTTACCATGTGTCAGCCCAGGGTCAGGTCACTGTGTCCCAGCCGCTCTAGCTCTTCCCCGCCCTCTCCTTTTTTCAGTCCACTGTAGAATGTGAGAGCCGGGAGAGGGATAGGGGCCAAGTCAGGTCACCACCTAAAGCAGGAAGAGGTGGAACTGACACCTGGACCGCCGAGCTGCCGCCAGCAGGTGGCGCCCAGTCATCACAGCTGGTGGGCTTGTGTGTGTTTAGGATTGAAGGGGATTGTGAGTGTTTCTTAATCTCTTGAGCCATAACTGCAAAGTGGTGATAGTGTTGGCAGAAGTCATGAGAAACTCAGTACCAGAGTCACTGGAATCCCGCCAGCATGTGCAGCTTCACCTTCCCCACTCAGCCCTCGGGTTTTTGCGCAGCGCCGCTCCACCTGGTAGACACGCATATACACAGCCTTGGAAGACACCGGTCACTTTGTGAGGACTCTGACAGTCAGGTCTCCCGCTGTTTGGAGGTGCACAGAAGACCCCAAGCCATTGCTAGAGGCGCAACTTAAGCTGCCAGCAGCTTCAGAGGCAGAATCGCATTCCTGGTCTGGACTTGCAGGCTAAGCCAGACCTGCAGAGCTGTTTCCAGCATCTGCATCGCATTCCCAGAAGTGTCACAGCGGGGCAGCTGTCCGTGTGCTTGCGGCTCCGGGCTCACGGCAAGGAGAAAGGGGTTCAGAGTGCATTCAATCCAGAGGTTGCTCGGCACCGCCCAGGTGCTGGGAACATGCAGAGGACACGGTGCTGGAGATGTGCAGGGGGTCAGGTAGTAGCTATGCCAGGTGGCATGTGATTCGGCTGCCCTGAAGCCGATCTCGGGTGGATCGCCTCCAGGAAGCCACTGGCACTGTATCCTGTAGCTAGTATCTGTTAGTGTTCACAGGAGGTTACTGAACTGTTGTACCTGCTCACGTAAAGGTAATAACAGCTTTGCAGTTCCTGTATCTTTCTCCAAGCATGTGTTTTCAGATTCACCTGGGTTTTTCCAAACACAGATTCCTGGACCTTACCCTACTAGACTCCCTGGGGATTGGGCCTAAAACTCTGTGTTTTTCCTTTTTACAAGCCTTCCAGAGATACTGATGCTAGCTAAAGTCTTGCGCCATTGTCCTAGGTTCTAGCAGTTGACACACCACCAGGAAGAGGCTTATGGTTTTCCCATTTTGCAGACAAGTATACTGAAACTGACAAGGAGAGTGGCTTGTCCACACACACAGCTGGGGCAGTACTAGAGGGCAGGCCCACCTCCAGCTCCAGTCGCCCCATGTAGCCTCCAGGTTCTTCCCAACTGCCCTCCTCAGATGCTGCCCCAGTGCCTGCGTCTAACCCTCCACTTTCTCCCCGTGCTGTCCCTGAAGCTTGAAGAAGAACACCCACACCTACTTCTACACCAGCTTTGCAGCCTACATCTTTGGCCTGGGCCTTACCATCTTCATCATGCACATCTTCAAGCACGCGCAGGTGAGCAGGACTGTCGTGAGTCTCGGGAGTGCTTCCAAGTAGCAGGGATTCGCGGAGGGCTCGTCCTGTGCTGCACACAGCAGTCCAGAGCCAGGCTCTACCTGCAGGGAGCTCGCAGGCCATTCCCTGTTGTTGCCCCAGGCGGCTGGTGCGCTTGGTGAGAAGGGACGCCTGCTGCCTTCATCAGGAAGAGAAACCTTCCCCAACCCTCTTAGCAGGGTTTGCCCACTCGTGGGCCAGATCAGGATCACGTAGTCCCAGCTGCCGCAATTCCAAGAAAGAGAAGAAAAGGCTATCTGTCCTCACCGGTGGAGGCCAGGTCAAATGGGGCTGGGTGGGTATTGGGTGTTTCAGCCCAGTTCCTGCCCCACCAGGTGACTGATAGCTAGGCTGTTGGGGCCCGAGCTGCCTGAGCAGACCTCCACCCAGGTGGGTAATGAGTGGCACAGGATGGCCTGAGGCGGTCAGGGAGCTGGCAGACAGGGCTGCTCTGCTCTGAGCAGTAGGAGCACTTCCCCACAGGCCGAGCTGGAACTGGGAGGGAACGGCCCAGGTGTGCAGGCAACCCAGACCTGCAAGCCCACGTGGAAACCACGCCAGGCGCTATCCCCCAGCCGTGGGGAGGCGGTGTGGAGTGAGGCCAGGAGAGCCCCGCTGTGCATGTGGGTGCCACCACCTGCCCCTGGGACTCTGGGTGATTGCTGAAGCTACACACGATCCTCATCAATAATGAAAACAGAACATGGGGATACGTAGCAGTAGCCCCCTTGGAGTTGTTTGGGAGTTCGGTGAGCCAACATAAGTGCTCAGATAACATAATGGAAGTGCTCGTAACCCAGTAGTCTTAGCTGTGATTGTGGCTGTTCGCCCCCTCCTCTCCTGCCCCTCCCCTGGCGGCCTGGAGCCAGCTCTGATGAGCACAGGAGCTGTTTGTTGCACAAACTACTCTGCCAGGCACCGTGCTAAATTGCACATTAGCCCCTTCCATGCTTTACAGATCTGTAGTGTCTCTGAATTAGGAAGGGCAAGTCCTCTAATATCATTCGGAGTTGTTTGGTTTTTTAAAGATTTATTTATTCACACATACAAGAACTGGGATAAAGACCAGAGGTGGGGTGGGGGGGAGGTGAGAAGATTCACCAGAGACAGAGTGGGGAGCAGAACAGGCAGACTGACTGAAGTACACTGCTGAGGGGAGCAGTGGGTGAGACAGGAGAGGTCTGCTGTGCCATGTGGGTCAGCTCCCTCACTGGGGATTGAACTTGTGCTGTGGATCGCATGAAATTATTCAAGGATCTGATTTCATTATGCATTTCACTTGAGGTCATGGTTTTTAAGGTAGTTATCCAGGATCTTAGAGGACCGACCATTACTGCTATTATTTTACAGCGGGTCCAAGATCCCCTAGATCATAGTGGAAGAGACCAGAGCCACTTCATTCACTTCGGCCTCACACAGCCTCAGGGCCACTGCAAGCCTAGAGTAGCTTGCACTTGGCAAGGGGGACTGAGGATCTGGGCTGGAGGGACAGGTAGTCCAAGTCCACAGCCATTCCCCCAGCAGCCACTAGGTGGCAGTCTTGCCTTTGACCTTGGCTAGACTCACCCGAGGACCCCCCCCCCTTGGGAGCGCTCACCCGCTGGGCAGAGGCAAGAAAAGTGTTCCTCTCTATGAGGGACACTGAAGCCAGAGAGAAAAGGTGACTGCATTGAGTCACACAGGAGCCCAGCCATTTCCCCTAGACGTCCACGTGTGAAAACCTCTGAAAGGAAAGGGAGCCCAAAACCCAGGGTCTGTTCCATAAGGTCCTTCCTCCCCTACGAGACATGTGCAGTGTGGGTCTCGGGAGGGGTCTCCTCTGCCTGTGTGGTCTGCATTTCATGCGTCCTCTCTCGAAAACGCACTCCGAGTCAGGGGTCTGGTTACTGCCTAGAAAGGTCCCTAGTGATGATGAGATGTCTTCCTTGTACAGAGGGAGAGGGGAGCCCAGAGCTGAAACCTGAGAGTGAGTCCAGAAGAGCCAGTTCAGCAGTGTCTGGGAGTGGACCCACCCTGGAGGGTGCAGGTTTGCACCTGATGTTTCAGGTGATTGGGCCACAGCACACCTGAAAGCCCTGCATACCTGAGCTTCTGTGGGTTTCCTGTGTTCCCTCCCAGGGAGGAACAGGCCTGGGATGGAGTCGCTCATTGCACTCCAGCCCATGCTCTGAGCCTGGGTAGGCACCGCCTCTGCCAAGCCCAAGAAAGGATTGGAGTGATGGGCGGAGCCCTGAGGTACCTCCCAGGGTTGCCTCACCAGCCTGTGTCCTCTTGCAGCCCGCCCTCCTGTACCTGGTCCCCGCCTGCATCGGCTTTCCTGTCCTGGTAGCATTGGCCAAGGGAGAAGTGACAGAGATGTTCAGGTAAGGCAGGGCAGGGGCAGGCATTTGCATGGCGCGGTGCACCTGCAGGCAGCTGTGAAGCCTGCCTGGGCTGTTTGTACACGTCTCCAGGGGAACACTGTTCCACCACCAGCTCCGCCTGTTGCCCTTTCCACCGGCATGTGGGCACCTGGCTTGTGGGCACCAGCAGGCACCTTTCCGTGGCCAGGCAGAGTAGATACCCAGATGCCAGTGGGCCTTGCGGCGGGAATGGCTGGTGGAGATGTGTCTCTGGGCTGCCCTCCATCGAGAGCCTTGGCTTCCCGCCCCGATGGCTACCACAGGACTTCAGGCGTGTCCTTTCCCTCCCCCGGGTCTCAGTTTTCACATGTGAATAATAGAAGGAGCGAACTGTTGCAGCAGAAAGAGCCCCGGGAGGAAGTGCCAGCCCTGGTTGGCCACCTACGCGCGGCCGCACAGTGGGCTGTGCCCCTCGCACACACCCCTCCCCACAGCAGTGCACACGCCACACCCGTGCAAGCCCCGCCCGGCCCCAGGCCTGCGTGACTCCGACAGGTGTCGAGGCCTGGCACCGCCGACCCCGCCTGCTGGGGAACCAGAAATAGCTGCCAACTGTGATTGAAGCTGCCCACTCGGGGGCCATCCACCCAGCTCCACCTGCCTGGCCTCCAAGTTGTCCCTCAAGTGCTTGCCAGGCCTTCGGTGCACCTGGCTGCCTGCAGGGGAACCTGTGACTCACCCTCCCCCGTACCTGCCTCTGCCCTCCCTGCCCTGCCTAGAAGCCCCAGGCTCCAACCTGCCTGCCCATATCTCCTGGACTGACAAAGCCCTGTGGACTCTGAGGCAAGGCTGGGGGGTGAAGTTGGGGCCAGATTTGGGAGAACAGGAGGGCAGGGGTGGGACCCAGTTCCTAGGCTCAGCACCTGCCCTCACCCTGACTCTCACCCAGCCTCAGCCCCAACCCCACCCCAGGCTGCCTTCCCCAACCCCCTGGAGACCTCCTTGGGTCACACGGAGGCCAAAGCCAAGGTGCTTGGTCTCCCTGAATGTTCTGCCAGTAAGCCCTGGAGGGCCCCTTAGGTTGAGGCGAGGCGAGAAGCAGGGGTTCTCTTCTCTCTCTTTCCACCTCTCCCTAGTTCTCCACCTTTAGCCTTTGTCTTCCTTCTCCCTTGATTGACTCTCCCTGGGCACACGTTCCCATGGTCCACAATCCCACAGCTGAGACGAGCAGCAGCCCACGCCCAGCCGCTGCAGCGGCCAGCCCTGCCTCTGGCCCCTCCGAGCCCTGCGTACGCGACGCCTGGCCCGGCGGCCTTCTCGGCGCGGCCTGTATCGGGCTGTTTGCACCGTGGAGAGCGGCCTCACTCTTGTGCACACTGCAGCGATCCCGTGTATAGAGGCCTCTTTTCTTTCTTATTCTCCAGTAATACAGCTTCTCTCCACAAAGTCTGCAAGCACGGAGATAGATGCGGCTCAGACACAGCTGTGCTCCTTGGAGAAGTCTCTGTCCTCCCTTAGTCTTTTCCTCTCCATCTTTTTTTTTCCTGTCTGTCTGTCTGTCTCTCACGCAGCTACGAGTCCTCAGCGGAAATCCTGCCTCATACCCCGAGGCTCACCCACTTCCCCACAGTCTCGGGCTCCCCAGCCAGCCTGGCCGACTCCATGCAGCAGAAGCTAGCTGGCCCTCGCCGCCGGCACCCGCAGAATCCCAGCGCCATGTAATACCCAGTGGGTGCCCACCTGCCCGCTTCCCCCCACTGCCCCGGGGCCCAAGGTAGGGCAGACACCCCAGCTCCAGTGTACGGGGCAGGGGCATGGCCAAGGGCGGGCAGCAAGAGGCAGCTCATCCACAGCCACCAGGGAGTCACCGCACCCAGCCGTGGGGCCCAAGGAAACAGGCCACCAGCACTACCCGTGTCCCCACATCCGAGTGGACGTTGCACAGTAGGAGACACGGTTACTAGGGTGTGTGTCACTGCTATATACACACATGTGCATATATACGTGTGTGTGTACGTATGAATGTATGTATCACTGCCTCCCCAGGCAAGTCACTTTCCTCTCTCCAAGCTTCTTTCTTCATCTGTAAGTGGGCACATCCCTGCCTCAGGGGGTTGATCTGGTGAGGAAATGTGGTATTGTCCTTAGCATGAACTCAGTTGCTCAATAAGTGGAGCCCGTAGTAAGGGAAAGCCGGGGTGTCCGCCTGCAGCCTGGCCCCTCGCCCCTGCATAGAGCAGCCCCCGCCCACCGCCCCCGGGCTGGGCTCTCTGACTCCTGCCACGCGTGCTGGGAGGCAGCCATTCTCCCACAGCCTTGTCTTGGCCACCCCTTTTTTTCCCACTCTCTCCAGCGGAAGGTTCAAGAAGCTTAAAGTTGGTCTGCACAAGCCCAAGCCCAACCTCTCCTCCACTTGCCACTGCCCTTGCCACCTCTTGGCACTACCAGGCACAGTGAAAGCAGAGCAGCCTTTCGGAGGAGGGCACGCGGTGGGGCCGGGGCCAAGTCCTGGAAGGTGCTGGGCAGCGGATGTGGGACTGGCGTTCTCCAGTGTGTGCCGTGGGGTCCCTCTGACGGCGGGGAGGCGAGGCGCAGGGCTTCTGGGGCCTCCTCTCACTGCGTTGTTCTCATTGCTTTATTTTTGGTCAGTTATGAGGAATCAGATCCTAAGGATCCAGCGGCAGTGACTGAACCCAAAGAAGGAACAGAGGCGTCGGCATCGAAGGGGCTGGAGAAGAAGGAGAAGTGACGCGGTGCTGTCTGACCACTGAGGGAGGCCAGACCGGCCGGGCGGGGGCCGAGCGGGGGCCCGCAGAGGCAAGACTGCAGGGGCCCAGGCAGCTCCAGGGCGGGGGGCACCCGGCCCTCCAGCGGGGGCCTCCCCCTTCTGTGGATTTCCTCTGCCCCCTTCACCCCTGCCAGCTAAGGAAGCCCCAGTTTCCCCCACCCCCTCCAAGTGCCAGGTGGGAAAAGTGGGTCTGATTTTTAGCTTTTTGTATTGTGGACTGACTTTGCCTCACATTAAAGACTCATCCCATTGCCACTGTATTGCACCCAGCATTTGCATCGAGATCTCCGGGCCTCATCGCCCACCCAGAGACGGTCCTATAAACCCCTCCCTGAGAACAGTGCAGTACTGCAGACGGGTGAGAACCCAACCTCTGGGCCTGGCTGCTCTGTGTGCCCCTCCAGTCAGCCCACTCAGTACCCCGTGGGCACCCTCCAGCCAGCAGAGGGAGCCCATGAGCCCTTCTTGCCACCTACCACCCAGCATTGGGGGGCACCTGGGATGCTGGCAGGTGTTCCTTTGTTGTCCTCACCTCCAAGAGGTGGGAGGAAGCAGCAAAAGACTGGCCTGGCGCAGCAAGGAGACCATAGCTGTAAAACAAGAGTAACAGGCCCTCATGGGCCCTAGAAGAGTTTAGATTTATTCCCGTGCTGACAGGAGCAGCTTCCTGGTCCCCATGACCATATGGCTACAGCTGGAAAGTGCCTGAATTCTAGGTTGCCGTGAAGATCAAAGCCCCGTCACTCCCATTCTGTCTGTTCCTGGGACTGTTCCCAAAGTGACTACTTCAAGGCCACTCAGAGCACCAGGGCCAGGGCCTCTAGAAGGACGGCTAGGGCGGGATTGGGCCTGGTGCTTCTGAGAGGCCATCCAGGCCCAAGATCTGGAGATTGCAGGACCAGACTGACTCCAGGGCTTGCTGAAGACAACAGCCCAGGCCCCCGGGAGTAGGCCAGGAGTGGGTACGGCCCTCACTTGCCTACCTCCCTGGTATGGAGTGACTGGGTGAAGTATCAGGTGGGAGCGGATGGTCAGTGTCCTGAGACAGAGGTTCAGGGCTGAAGTTTTCCAAAAGTTTGCTAAAGAACAAGAATGAGCAGAGAATCCACAGTGTCTTTCTAATGATCTCACTAGCTATTGAGTATACCGGTACCAAGTACTTCGCCATCCTAGGCCGGGCCTACTGTACCAACAAGAGAAGTGAGGCAGCTTGCCCACCCACAGGGTTTTAACCTTAAGGGCATTTCAGAGTTGCTTAGGTCTGAGTCACTAGCCGGGCCGCTGGGTCCCTTTGAGCCAGCCACCCAACCTCTCTGAGCCTAGGATTTTACTGAGAGGAAAGGAAGGGAAGGGAATCGTTCAGGCTTCTCCCCAACAGGGGCTTTTCAGATCTCTACCAGTGCCAGCCACCTCCAGAGAGGAGGCCATGTGGTCCTGGAACAAGGCCGCTCTGAGGGCGGCAGATGGGGCAGGCAGCCCAGGCACACAGCACGGTTGGCTCTGTGGCCCAGGGCCCACAAAGACTTCATTGAGTCACCGCCGGCCCCCGGCGGAGGCTGAGGTGGCAGTGGCGCCGGGCGCCTGCCACCTAATGACCGTCCTGGCCTGGCCAGATGTTCCACAGACCTCGGCAGTAGCTGTCCAGGGCCCGCCCGGCCAGCCGGCACCACAGAGGCCACTCTAATTCCAATTAACCAGCTTCAGCTGAGCAAACAGCGGGCCGCGGTGGCTCGCCCGGGCGGTGGGCCCGGCCCGCAGAGCCTCCGAGTCTAGACTCCAGATGTGGCCCGCCACCGCCAGAGTCCCATGGAAAAATGGCACCAGGCCGGGCACGGATTGGGACTGCATGCTGGAGAGGCAGGGGTGGGTGGCTGGGCAGAGCTCTGGGTGGGACAAGTGCCAGTCTCACCCCAGGGTGGGGAGGATTCTTGAAAACTGCTCATAACACCCCCACCACCACCAGTTCTGCCCCTGAACTTGCTCAGTCCCCTTGACTACAATAGGTAAGAGGGGGCTGGAGCCGGAAGACCAGCCCTGCTGAGAGCTGGGTACATAATACATGTCTCCTTTGTACTTACTGTATCTAGCATTGTGCTGTGTGTTTTAGAAACATCTAATAATTATAACAACCCTGTGAGGTGTGTACAATAATATTTACAGATAAAGGAAGCATAAGGAGAGACCTAGGTTAAGGCCCTGGGGGGATTTGAACTTGCTGCCTAACTTCCAAGACTGGGTCCTTCAGTGCTATTTGACATAAGCCACAATGCTGGATCCCAGGTTTCCTTTCTTGGGGGCCTGCACGAGAGGAACCGGTCCTGGCCCCATTGACCAAGCAGTGACTGGGGCAAACTGCCCACCTGGTCTTATTTCCTCAACTGTGAAATGGGTAAGACACACCCCCATTCCAGGACACCTTTCCAAGGCTGCACCTAGGTTTGGGGGGGAAAAGCCTTGAGAGGCCTCTTCAGGCCTCCAGCATCAGATATGAGTTGGGCACGCGACTACCTGGGGACAGCAGGGAACCCTAGGTCAAGCGCCCACTCTACCCCAGCTGCAGGGTGTGTGGGGAGAGGTCAAGCCAGTGACACCGACAGACCGAGGCGGGAGGGGTGCCCCAGGCTCCCACATTTGTCTGAGATGCCCGGGGGGGGGGGGGGGGTGGTATTCACAAGCCTGGGAGATGCAGGCGGTCGGAGTTCAGCGGTCCTTGCAGAAAGGGAGGAATGAGCCTCCTCCCCCTCAGAAAGGGGGCAAGATCCGTCCGGGACCCCAGAGCGGGGCCGCCGCTCCCCGCACCCCACTCCCCAACGAGAATTCCCCCCCACGACGCCGGGCGGGTCGCGCGAGGCGCAGGCTGCGAAGAGGGCGGGAGGAGGCTGCATCCTGCCTGGCTGCGTCAGGAAGGGCCGAGCGGGAAGGAAAGCACCGCCCCCACCCCCGCCGCGGC